TCTGTGCATGTGACAAAAAACTCTCATATTCTTCACATGTCTAGGCTATGGGGTAGGTTGGCTAGACGGGAGCCCTTACTCACAAAAAACATCCAAGCTCAACTAAATCACCCCAAACCATGTGGCAAATTGTGTTATGGTCTTATGATACCAATTCCAAAAGGTATAATAATTCCTTAATTTCAAAAGGTATGTTTGCTGCAAAAAAGCACATCACTAAAAGAACACCATACCCACAGTGCAGCATGTTGGTGGCATCTTCAGGCTTTAGGGCTGCTTTTCTTCAGCCAAAACTGGGACTTTTATCAAGCTGGAGGATTCATGAACAGCTACAAATACCAGTCGATTTTATTGCAAAACTTTCAGGTATCTGCTAGTAAGCTGAAGATGAAAAGGAATTTCACCTTTCAGCACGACAATGACCCAAAGAGAGTGGAAAAAGTTCTGACATGATTGATTTATCTTTGTTTCATTTTTTATATCACATAATCCTGCCATTTTAATAGGGGTGTGTAGACTTTTTATATCCGTTGTATGATCACACAAGGAGCATATACCTTTAGCAATATTATATGTCATGTTGTGTATCCTAAACCATACTACAGGAGTGTAGACTACACCATAACCATTCTACAGGGGTTCATAGTATTGTTTAGCAATCTTCTAACCTTGTACAGGAGCATATAGCATTGTTTACCAATCTTGTAGCTCAAGCTTAGTCCCCTAGACCCTACACACTAAATGCTACTACCCTAAAACTTTCTACAGAAGCTTATATCATTGTTAAGTAATCTCATAGCTCATGCTTAGTACCATATATCCAACACCCTAAACCCTTTTCCTGGAATATATACTATTGTGTATCAGCTTATAATACACAATAGTATTATAGTATATTAATTATAGTATATACAATATATTATCAGTCCACTAAACCCTACAACCTACACCATATACATTGCTGCAGGCGTTTATAACATCGTTTGGCAATCTCATGTCTCTTCATGTGTACTCTAAACCCTATGCTCCAAACACTTCTACAGGAGTGTACAGTATACCGGTATGTATGAGAGAGGTCACAGGAGAATGTCCAGCCTGGAAAAACATCTCAAAATGCATAACACACCAAAACGTTGAGGTGGATAGGCTACAACAGCAGAAGACAACACTCCTGTTCCATTCCTTTAGCCAAAAACTGGAATCTAATGCTACAGTGGGAACACTGGATAATTGCATGAATGTGCAGGTGTACAGGTGTTGTTCCTATTAAAGTTGCCAGTGTGCGTATATGAGTGGACACCATTGTATTGCAAGCTTGGACCTCAGGATGAGTCCTCTAAACCCTACACTCTTCTACAGGAGCATATACCAGCCTTGGTACTTGTAACTACTTGGTAACATGATTACAATAATAATTGTTTGGCTCATCTTGGAGGCATTAAATTAAATCCAGGTTTAAAAAAATCTTACAGCTAGGTGAGACAGTATGAAACTCACTGCAGTGTGAGATTTTATTGTATAAGTTATCGTTGTATAATTTGATGCATTATAATTTATCTTCACATTGCTGACTTTGAAATAATGAATTTGAGATTGTCTGACTTTGAACACCAGCTTTTGGATAGTAAAAGGGGAATTAAAATGCCAGGAATGTACTTTGCATAGTGGTGCCTTGTCTACAAAGTAAAATAACCTTGAGAGAAAAAAAAAAAAAAATTAAAAAAAAAGACTGAATGACTGCAAGGCTGAATGAGGTTACAGCACATCTACAACTACAAATATTGTTAAGGTCATACCCCATAACATGATAAAAAAAAAGTGATAAAGCCCAGGATATATCATTTTAGTGTAAGTCAGTAATGAATTAAATTTTTAAGTGAAAAGATTCAACTAGGAAGCATAGCATAGCATAAGCATAGCATTAGCTGCCACAGGCTATGTTCAGAGGTTGCTACCATCATCCTGCTGATTAGGCAAATCAGTTAGAACTTTAGAAGTAATTATTTGATTCATAAATAACAGAATCATGTTGTAGGGCTCTATATAGAATCTTTAAGAATTCCCCCAGAGTGCAAACCAAATAAGGAGTTTAGGGATTCCACAGTGTACTTGGAACCTAAGCAATAGAATGCAATGGAATTAAATCAACAAAGAGTTGAATCTAGAACTTTAACAGCTTCTTTTTTCATCCTTCTGTCTGAATGGTTCTATGTACAACCACAGAACAGAGTATGAGAATGAGGACGAATGAGGACGAGCTCCTGAGCAGTGACGCAGTGAAAGCCGCTGACAGGAAGCTGGATGAGAACAGTGACAGTTCAGAGTCAGAGATATCAGACGCAGAACATCGAGTGACAGCTCTAACTCTTGGGAAGAATACGTGAGTTAGTTTGCTGAGAGATCTGAGGAGTGCTGGCTCTCTGTGTCATGTTCTAGGATAAAAAAAAAAATAAATAGTGAACCAAACAAGACTAAAGAGAGAACGACATATTGTGGAGAGATTAGTGTGAAAATCACTGGTGTTTAAATTTAATGCAGTTGAAATGTTATTTTTAATCCATAGTAACTTTACAAATATGGTTTGTTGTGCCTCATTTACAACAATTTCATTTTACTTTGAGTCAGATTGAAGTCTCAGACAAAATCTTTTTTGTGTGTGTGTGTAGGTATATTTATTTGGAATATACATACAAGGGTGAAACATTCAAATGCACTGTAGAAGTATCAGAACATTTTTTTCATCACAACAGTTAACAAAAACAGAGAACTAAAACAAAAAAGGGAAAACAAATAACAGTTCCCCGGTCAGGAATTGAACCCGGGCTGTAGCAGTGAGAGCACTGTGGCCTAACCACTAGTCCTCCAGGGACCCACTACAATATATTCTGTGTAAGATGTTATATTGAATATTTCTGTGTTTGGTGGATATCAATACAGTCTGTGATTTTTCTAGGAGAGTACAAGAAGTATAAGAGAAATGTTCACAAGTAACAATGTGTTTAAACCTAGGAAAGTATGAGACTCCTGCCATGCGGCAAAGGTGTCAAAAGGATCGGATTTTTCGTAATCACAGAAAGCCTCTTCCTTGTGCCCAGGAAAGGGATAACTGTGAGTGGAGTAGTTTTCATTTCATGCTGCTCTATTGAGATCCATCTCACGTCGCTGTTCTTTGAAAGCAGCCAAATCCACAGTGGGCGGAACTGAGAAGCTAGGTAATAAAGTCTGAAATTTGGGAGATTTAGCCTGCTTTTAGCATATGGGGCTTGACGTGTGGTGAGATTAACCCTTGGGGTTTTCTTATGCCATAAGAATATGGATATAGCTATGTTAAGGTCATTAAAGAAATACAGAGGGACTTTATCTTCATCTCCTGATATAAGTAGAGGAATTTGGGTAGTATATTCATTTTAATTGTATTGATTCTATTCTATTGATTCTACCAATTAATGACAGAGGTAAGTCCATCCACCACTGAAGATCCATCCAGTTTGGTTCAGTAGCTTCACATAGTTTTCTTGATATACTTTATCAAAAGAGTCACCAAAATTAATACCCAAATACTTAAAAACACTGGTGCGCCATTTTAGGGATCCAGAAATAATTCTAATGTCGTTGTCCAGTACATTGATTGGGAAGGCCTCACTTTTTGACTAATTTATCTAACCCAATGCTGCACTGTATTTCTTGAGACACTGAAATAGTGGGAGAAAAGAATTAGTTGGTTAGGAATAATAAAAGTTCGTCTGCATAGAGAGATAGCATGTGCTCATCTGTGTCAAAAGTTACGACAGTAATGAATGGGTTTGTGCAGATAGCAATTGCTGGAGGTTCAATGGCAAGAGAAAATAATCCAGGTGAGCTTGGGCATCCCTACCTACATTCCCTGGAGAGCAAGAAGGCGTCCGACAAACTCTGTTAGGTAAAACCTAAGCCTTAAGGGCATTAAAGAGTGTTTTAAAATATATAATAAATGAATAATTTTAGGGATGACATTCTCCAGTCATAAAGCGATTATTTTGGATAGAACCTATTGGTCAGAGCAAACTGAAGGGCCTATAACAGCCAGATTTTTGTTTGTCTAGTTTAGGTAGCAGTGTTATTGTCGTGACTTCCAATGCATATGGTAACACTTGACTTACTTGATTATGTTGGTAAGAGGGGCCAATAGTTTTTTTAGAGAATGCTTTGAAGTATTCGATTGGGAATCTACCCCAGCGCCCTATTATTCTGTAAAGAATTGATAGCACAATGTACCTCCTGCTCAGATACTCTGACTTCAAGAATATCTATACAGCTGGTAAAGTATACAATGTTCCTCCAGGACCATGGGGCCACATAACCAACACAAAACTACATAAAGTGCAAGTGTGCAAACATGTACAAACAGCACAAGTCAAGTACAAATTTCCTTAAACAGGACAATAGGCACAGTAAAGGACAGTACTGCACCAACTACAGTCCACAGTTCTAGTGTGGATGAAGTGGGCAGGGTGCCATATGTAACAGATTATGCAAAAAGATATAACAAAATAATAGTAAAATGCTTTAAACATAAACATAACATACAATGATACTATGCCTTTACTATGATAAATACAGTGTTGGCAGCAAGACTGCAGGTGGTCAATACAGTATATTGTGTACAGTGTTTTAGAAGCAATTTAAGAAAGAAATGTGCAAAAATTGCAAAGGGAGTGGAATGGTGTTCAGTTGATCATGAGTGTGTGTGCTTTGGTGTCAGTCCAGTCTCTGAGTACTGAGGTGTCTGATGGCTTTGGGGAAGAAACTGTTACACAGTCTGGCTGTGAGAGGCCCGAATGCTTTGGTACCTTTTGCCAAACAGTAGGTGGGTGAAGAGTCTGTGTGAGGGGTGAGTGTGGGTATCCACAATGCCAGTGACTTTGAGTGGTTGGGACATTATGCGAACTGCAGGGGGTCAGTAGGGTCTTGATGTCCTTCATGATGAGCCTCTCGAAGCATTTCATTATGATAATACTTATTTCCTTGACCAGGGATCAAACCCAGGTCGTGGCGGTGAGAACACTAAAGCCTTGCCGCTAGACCACCAGGGAGTCATTTAATAGACTCTATTGAATATGTGACCATATTCAACCAAGTCTCAGACTCAGAAAACATTTCTTTTCTTTTTTTTTTTTTAAATCCTCAGTTGAAATAAAATTGGGAAATCCAAAATATTTCCACATAGAGGATGTATACCCTAAAGGGATATGAATATCAAATTGCACTTCTCATGACAGAGGTGATATGTTAAAGCATATATTTAATTTGCAAATGACAATTACATAGAGACATACACATAGAGAAGATTTTTCTAGTGAAATTTCTGGTGCTTCAAGAATGAAAAAAATTTACGTAAAAACTAAATATGTATATGTATAATGTCTTTTTTGATGTATAAATAAATGAAATTATGTTAATGTTCTGGTTGTTGGTTAGATATTCTTAGTTGTTGATATAAACTTTGCAAAAACCCTATAAAAACCAAGATGGAAGCAGGTGATGGATTTATACAGAATATTACTCTCTGAAACTGCCTGTACAATATTTTTTCAGTACTTTGATAACAGCTTCTTTGACAATAGGTTCTAAAAGTGAAATAACTGATCAATATGCTTAATCATTTTCTGTGTGGCTCTCTCTCCCTCTCTGACACATGGAGAATTGTTTGCATTTTCAAAAAACATGTTGCCAGATTAAGCTGCAATTGCTCTGTTAATCCGTCGGTGCTATCGTTACTAGTCACTTGAAAGGTTTCATAGTCATCTGACAGAGCTATTGGATCTTGTTCAGTGTCACTATCCTGGGAAAATTCTGACTCATTTTGCACTACAACTAACAAGTCATAATCTGAAACATTCAAATGTTCTCTGTATTTGTGAGAATTGAATGGTGAGTAGACATTTGTTTTAAACTTGCAATGCCTAAATGGACATGGCACAGTTTGTTTGAGTCTCAAGTGTCCCCTTAAATGATTAAACATTTTTACTACTTAAAGTCACACAGAGGGCAATGAAAAAATTATTACTGTAGCTGTTATAATTTTTTGCTGTATGTACTGTGGACATGTGAACTTGAAAGGGCTAAATGTCCACACACATTTGTGATAGAAACTGTAGAATACTAGACATGTTGGAGTCTGTAATATCTTAGTAAGTGTACTCTGATAGAACATGAAAACTTACATTTCCACATGAACACATTCCCCAGTGCTAATGAGAAGGAGGTGCTCTGTGAACTGTATGGGGCTATAAGTGAACTGCAGAACACACACCCTGACTGACTGTTTATTGTCTCTGGAGATTTCAACCATGCGGATCTCAAGTCAGTGTTCCCTAAATTCTATCAGCATATGCACTTTGCAACGAGAGCACTCTGCTGGACCAGACAACATTCCTGGCAGAGTGCTCAGAGGATGTGCAGACCAGCTGGCGGATGTTTTCACTTACGACTTCAACATCTCCCTGAGCAGCGTCATCATTCCAACATCCAAGGCCACCACCATTGTCCCCGTGCCTAAGAAGTCTTCAGTGTCCTGCCACAAAGACTACTGTCCCACTGCACTGACACTGATCATCATGAAGTTCTTTGCTAGTCATGAGGCACATCAAGATCCTGCTGTCCCCCTCACTGGACCCCCTGCAGTTCGCGCAACGTCCCAACCGCTCAATAAACGATGCCTTCACCACCCACTTCCATCTGGGCCTTAACACGTCCCTCTGGATCCTGGATTTCCTGACTGGGAGACCTCAGTCAGTCTGGAACGGGAGCAGTATCTCCAACGACATCACAATGAGCACTGGGGCCCCCCAGGGCTGTGTGCTCAGTCCACTGCTGTTCACTCTGCTGACTCATGACTGTGCAGCAATGCACAGCTCAAATCCCATCAACAAGTTCACTGGTGACACAACTGTCATCAGTGAACTTGTTGATGATGACACAACAAGTTGGTCTTATTAACAAGAATGAAGAGTCAGGACACAGAGAGGAGGTGCAGCAGCTACCGGACTGAGGCAGGGCCCACAACCTGTCTCTGAACGTGGACAAAACCAAAGAGATGGTTGTTGACTTCAGGAGAGCAGAGATCAACCACTCTCCGTTGAACATCGACAGCTCCTCCGTGGAGATTGTCAAGAGCACCAAATTCCTTGGTGTTCTCCTGGTGGAGAACCTCACCTGCTCCCTCAACACCAGCTCCATAGCCAAGAAAGCCCAGCAGCATCAATACTTTCTACAAAATCTGAGAAAAGCCCATCTCCCACCCTCCATCCTCACCATATTCTACAGAGGCACTATCGTGAGCATCCTGAGCAGCTGCATCACTGCCTCGTTTGGAAATTGCACCATCTTGGATCACAAGACCCTGCAGTGGATAGTGAGGACAGCTGAAAATCATCAGTGTATCTCTTCCATTCATTACAGACATTTACACCACATTCTGCATCCGCAAAGTCACCAGCATCGTGGATGACCACACGCACCCCTCACACAAACTCTTCACCCTCCTGCTGTCTGGCACAAGGTACCAAAACATTCAGGCCCTCATGGCCAGACTGTGTAACAGTTTCTTCCCCCAAGCTATCAGACTCCTCAATACTCAGAGACTGGACTGACATCAACCTACACACACACGAACACACACACACGCACACACACACACACACAAAACTGATCACCAATCCACTCCTTTTGCAATTTTTTGCACATTTCTTTGTACACAAAATAGGAAATTTGTACTTGACTTGCATACGTGCACTTTATGTAGTCCTGTGTAGGTCTGTGTAGTCTTAGTTAGTTCTGTGTAGTCTCATGTAGTTCTGTGTTGTTTTATGTGGCACCATGGTCCTGGACAAACATTGTTTCATTTCACTGTGTACTGTACCAGCTAGATATTATTTAAATGAAAATAAAAGCCACTACTTGACTTGACTTGAGTTTACAAGTCTAACAACTTGTAAGTTTATTTGTATGTTAGTTTGCTAAACAAAATCGACAACAATATAATCAAACACGACATATTTTTAAAAATTTGGCTAACATTAAAGTTAGTAAAGTTAAACTAGTGAAGTTAGCCACGTCCACTCTGACACTGTTAATGTTAACCTACAACTTTACATGAACATGCAAATACTTTATAGAATCTAACAGATTCAACTAAATTAACTCAACAGTTAATTTTTGAGTTTGTTTTAATTGATTAGATGAGGTTAACTTTATTGCCTTCATTAAGAGACATAACTCTGTAGTGTTATGTTTTATAGTGTAGTATTAAAACACATTTCTATTTTTATCATATTAAACATCCAGGAAAGTCACTGAACTCACTGTATAGGTTGTGTTTTCAGTCATATGTTCAATCATATTTTCAGCTGTGCATTCAGCAGCGTGTTCAGTGGAGTGTTCATGTGTTTAGTTGCATGTTCATTTGTGCCTTCAATCACGTGTTCAGGTGTGTTCACTCAGGTTCATGTGCTCAGTCACGTCTTCAGCTCCATGTTCAGTTATGTGTTCAGTTGCATGATCTGCTGTATAATCAGCATTGTTCAGTTCTGTATTCAGTCATGTGTTCAGTCTTGTGTTTGTGAAGCTCTCATGTTTATGTGAGTTTATTTCTCCAACACTGGGATTTACTATTAAGGATTACTCAGCATGGGCTGAAACCTCCGGCTGGATGTTAGCAAAACAAACAGCTTGCTAATGATGACAAATGACAATTGGCACAAACACAATGCAGATTTGGTATTGGGTGACAAAGCAGCTTTACAGATATGTACCTGGATATGTACCGTAATCATATAAACTAGCAGTTATCAAACCCTTAAAAAAAAACTGACCTTGACACTTGTAAGCTGTCTAACTATAGGCCAATAGCAAACTTCCCATTTATCTCTGAGCGCCTAAAAATGTTGTAGCACAGCAAGTAGACTTACATTGGAATAACATGAAACCCCTCAATCAGAATTTAGGCCTAAACACAGTACTGAGAAAGTGGTAAATGACTACTACTGACCTTTGGTTCAGGGATGGGATGGGATGGGATAGGATAGGACTTTATTAAAGAAATTAAAGTGTTCCAGCAACATACTTAAAAAGCAAGGCACAAAATACACATAAGAAATAATGTAAGAAGATAAAATAAAGATAAAATAAATTAAATTAAATTAATATTGAAAATATTGAAGAATAAAATTCAATTTAAAAGTAAAAAAATCTAAAACAATTTATGCACAGCATAGATATAAATAATAAACCTATATAACATGCATCATATACGTTGATAGCTATGCTAAGGTGCAAGAGGTACAGTATATTGTATTTCAGTTCAATACCATGTTGTAGTTATGTATACAGAAGAGGTATTATCTACAGATGAGGTAGTTATAGTTGCCATATTGTGTCCAGCGCAGATAACGCATAGATGCACAATGATGCATGGATAAAAAGATGGATTAGAGTGCACAGTTGTACAGTCTCATGGGTGCAGGGAGAATTGACCTGTGGAAGTGTTGTGCCTTCTTGCTTGCTTGCTTGACTTTAGTGCAGCTTTTGATACCATAGATCATAATACTCTTCTAGGTAGATTAGAAAATGATGTTGGAGTTAAGGGAACTTCTCTTTCCTGGCTCAGGTCTTATTTGAATGTTCGTTATCAGTTTGAAGATGCAAATGGTGAGTTCATTGTGTGTACAAATGTAAAATTTGCTGTTCCACATGTCTCTGCTCTGGGCCCACTGCTCTTTTCCCTCTATATGCTACCTCTGGGTACAATTATTCATAAATATGGTATTAGCTTCCACTGCTATGAGGATAACACACAGTTATGTAGCATTTTGAGTAACTTAGTTAGTGTGTCAGCGTGCCAATGCTATCATGACCCATACTGGATGGCTGTTGTTTCTATTTTTTTTTTTATTGTTTTTTGCTTTGGTACAGTTGTGGTTGGTTTACTTGCCTACTGTTGCTGGACTATGGTGTTTTGGTACACACCAGAACAACTCTGTTGCTTCTGTTTCCATTCCTGTCTGGACTCTGCTACCTATATTGCTACGCCAGT